TGGGATGAAGTATTACAATTTGTTACATTTAATTATAATACATCAATACATGCAACAACAAAACAAACACCATTCGAAATGATGCATGGAAGACAAGTTACACTTCCATTTGATCAACAAAAAGAAATTATTTCGCTCACACAAGATCCAGAGCACAGTCAAAAAATTAGAATATATCTCGAAAAATTAGTAAATGAAGCTCGAAACAATATTATAAAAAATCAACAACAATATAAAGCTCGATATGATTTACATAGACAAGATTTATTATTAAAAGTCAATGATCTAGTTTTAGTAAAAACAAGAAATGTTAGAAATAAATTTGATATACGATATGAAGGTCCATTTAAAATTATTAAACAATTAGGACATAAAACATTCATTGTTCAACACGTAAAAAAATTAACATTAACAAGACAAGTAACAATGGATGTTATCGTTCCTTTGGTGGAACGATGGAATTTAATTTAATAACACACATCCTCAAACAAAAGGGGAAAGATGTGGTATATGATAATATAAATAGTAAAGTATATGCAACAAAAGCAAAATTCAAAAAAAAAAAAAAAAAAAAGAAAAAAAAAATATATATATATATATATATAATAAATATTATTATTATTTAAATTAATTAAAAATGATTGAGTCGGATTCAGCAGTTCATGTCGGGGAGACAGAATTTCACCTTCTCACTGACAAGGAGGGGCTGTCTAACTCAAAAACTAATTTTAATTGATTCTATTTTATGTATTTTTATGCGTATTAGTCATCACATACATATATTATACACGATGACTCATCCACCAATCACAATGCATTATAATCGAGGCACTTTTACAGTGTTGGCGCCATACTGTACAGTACGAACGATAATGCACGTGTTCCGGTTGGACGACTTTACTATTATCTGAACATTAACATGATATATATATATTGACCACATCAAAAGGAAAGAAAAATTTTATATATGGATAACAATAGCACCGTCTGATATATACAAAGGAAAGAAAAATTGACCTTATAGACGATGACCTTAGTGAAGAAATATTTTATTACGACATTAAATTATAAATTACGTATTTTCATTTTAGTTATACATCATTTGATCTTTTTGATACATCAAACAAACATACATTTATCTTAGTGATTTACTATGTCTGGCTTAACAAGAAATTCGTCTGATCCACCACGGTACTTCTATGACTTAAATCCAGAACAACAAAAAAATTGGATGAAAACTACTCGTCGAATGGAAAAAAATGAACAACTACGAGCTGAATATCCACCTTTTCAATCACCATCAAATTTTACAGTTCTTCATCTTCACCATTATTCATCAATCGAAACAATCGAAGAATTAATAAGGATGGCGAAAACAACACATATATATACAATCGACACAGAATCACAAGTAATAAACAAAGTAGCAAAAGGTGCCCTCGTACAAATCCAGTTCGTTCATTCAATTCATGAATCAACATTAATATTAATTGAAATGTTTTACTTACCAAATCAAGATTCATTGTTATTCAAGAAAATCAAGGAACTGTGTTCAATCATATTACATGATGAAAATACAAAAATTACCTGGGGATCATTCAAAAATGAATTTAAAAATTTTTATTCATATGGATTATTTGAAAAAGGTAAGATTAAAAATGCAATAAATTTACAGGATCGTTTTAGTGACTGGTACAATAAATCTGCAAGTATCACGCATCCCGTAAGGGAAAGTCGTGAAAAGCAAACCAGCTGGTCCTTACAAGATGCAATTAAAATAGCTTTTCAACAATTTCTGGACAAAAATGAAACAGTTAACAAGTGGCGTTGTGGACTGGACTTCAAACTCAACACATGGAAGAGAAAACTTTTTAGTAAGAACGATTACAATGCAAATGAAGAAAAAGAAAAACGTATTACAATGATACAATATGCTGTTGCCGACTGCACCGCCGTCACCAAACTTTATTTTATGATATATCCATCAGACTCAGGCATTCAAACAAGTTATGAAACACCAACACCAACGACAGCATCAACAAATATGACATTAAATATTAATGATTTATCCGACATTAGTGAAGAAGAAGAACCTAAAATATTAATGCCATATTTCGTTAAACCAACTCAAACATTAATACCAAAATTCAACGAACAAAATTATTTAACAATTGAAACAACTGAAGAAGAAATGAATGAATTTAATGTGCAAGAACAACAACAAGCACAAGAACAAACAACAATAACAAAATTATCAAAATCTGAAAAACAAAGAAAGAAAAATCTGAAATTAAAATGGAAACAAAAATATCATCCCAATTTTCAACACAAAATAAAAAGGCCCATTTACTACCGATATGATTACCAAAAAGTTAGGGCTCAATTAAAAGATGATGATATTTATACAAGCCATCAATTAAATATTAATCGATATAAAAAAGAAGTTTTAATTGGCTTTAAATCTGAAACTGAACAAGAACAAGCAAGAATTAAAATGCCAATTAATTATTTTTCCAAAAAACAATATGAAGAACGTTGGGGTTAAATAAATAAACAAAAAAAATTAAAATTAAAATTAAAATTAAAATTAAAATTAAAAATTAAAATTAAAATCAAAAATTAAAATTTAATTATTAAAATAAAAAAATTAATAATAATAAATTATTAAAGAAGTTATTAAATAAAACATCAACAACAACAACAATTAGCGACAACAGCAACACCTATGGAAAATAAATAAATAAATAACTTCGACAACAATAAACAAAAACAACAAACGACAAAATCAACAACCAAAAGATCCAAAACAATCATTGGAAAAACATGGTAAACAGAACACCAATCATTAATTTTATTTATTTAGGTACATAACATCATCTTCGTGAATCACAACATTATGACGACAAACATTTACAACAATAACAATGAATTTACCTCCATCTCGATTTATTGAAAATTATCTGTTATGAAATGCTCGAACATATATTTAAATAAAACAAACACCAATTATATGATTATCAATATTTCTTATTCATTGTCGTTCAACTTATTCAACATCAACATATTGTCTATCATTTGAAACTGAATTACTTTATCATCTTATTTACTCAATTATCTTATTCATTTCTTTATGTTATTCATTTCGTCATTTTACTCACCATATGAAAATTCCATTTGATCAACAACATGTTATGAACAAAAATCTATTGAACGTACGTCAACTTATACTAAATAATTAATTGCAAGACTTTTTCATCTCGTACATGATTCAGCAATACAGGGAGATTTAAAACATACATAGGAAAAGGATTTTCCATTAATTAACTAAATAATAACCGTCTAAAAATATTTGTGATTATATTTTATGAACTACATAATGATACATTATCATCACAGAGAATTAATTGATAATCAAGAATTTATTCAACTATATCACATATAAATCAAAAAAAAAAAAAAAAAAATTTTTTTGTAAGAGGAAAATGATTAATTTATTATGGTAATTGAATTATTAATGAATTTAATCCTATTCGAACATACATGAACTTAAACTTGCATTACAAACAAACAAGAACACTTTTACTTGATAAATAATGCAGTCGACTATTATCAAGTAAAGAAAATATCAACAAACATCCATCAAAATGACTTATTAATAATAATAAAATTTAATTTGTTTTTCTTTTTTCTGATATATTTGCATTACAAGTCATTTTATTTCAAATATTGTTACATCTATTATTATATTCATCGAAGGATGAAATAAAATGGAGACCATCAAATGTTTATTATTCAATTGAATAAGCTATTAGATTGTTAATTTAATACGAATAATTGAAGTTTACTCCGAATTAGTTTATACAATTCCTCATGTTGAATGATCAATCATATTTAAGATT